TTTTTTTCTAAAAATTCGAATTGGAATAAACATTAAATAAACGAAGAAAAATAGCCAAAACTTGTTAAAATGTCGCGCTCATATTTATTTTCCAGCCACTGTATATCAATTTTGAATACAGACCTAACTCCCGACCAAAAATTCTTCTATAGGCTATTGTGATCCGTCCATTTTTTTTAAAGAGTCTTGTTTAGCCTCTTATCTAGAGCTATTCTATGATAGTTAAATTTGTCAGAATACTTGTGAATGTTACAGTGAATGTTACAAGAACAACCTTTGACAGGTTTACGCTCTCATGGGTACACGAGTTTAACGCCAAACCACGAACGACTTTCCCATAACCAGCTTAATTATCCGGTTTGCATATCTAAAGACAACGTACCACACTCGTGAAGAATGGTTAAAGGACGCAAAGTTACAATCTGACCTATCAGTGAGTTTTATAATATTTTTGGATCATTATCCTCGAGCTAGATTTGTAGGCAGGCATTATTGAAAGTACCCTCCATTTCCAATAAATTGCCTTCTTATACTCGATAGCCTTTTCGATCTCATATTCGAGGCACTGTAGGTAATCCGCGTTTCGACAGCAAACTAAAAATGAGGCGCCTTGTCTAAAGCGTCCTTTGGTTTGGAAAAATTCGGAGAGGTTCTTCCTAATTTGAGCGAAGCTAAAGCCACACTAGTTTTATCGGGATCGAAAATTTTAGACATGGCTTCGTAGAGGCGAATTCTCTTAAGGCTGTCAAAGCCGGCTTTAGAATCGACCAAAAAGCTATTTGATTATCCAATTAAGGTCTTTTTTGCTGAAAAATTGTGAAATTTCAAAGTCTGCAACCGCACTCAATCAGTGTGCTTATGAAACGCTCCAGTCTTTCACGCAGTTTCGTCGATTGGATTGTTATATATAATGTCAGGTAGTTGGTGCAAAAAGCAATATCTCATTTTTTGTAATATTCCAATCTTCGCTCATATAAGTATTTATCAGACACAATTACGCTTTAGTAGTTAATAAAGTCTGAGAGGAGCCCACCAATTATTCGGCGCTTGTGTTGAACAGCTTAGCCAGTATATCATCTGCTCTAAGGGTCTTCTTTTTAAACCGCTATTATTGCTGTTCTCAGCTTGTCTTGGTAGAGAGAACGGATGTGAATACCGGTGCTATATATTGGTCTGGGTTTCCCACCCTCGAACGTTACATCTGTGCCGCTATTCAAAGGCGTTGAGATGTATGCTCTTCTTCTTCCGGGAGCTTTTGTTATCGTGTTTTTGGCCTCACCGTTCTGCTTCGCCTTCGCCGTCGGGGCACGAGCACAAAATCGCAACTCGTTCACTAATGACGGTGAGCCTGAAAACAGGGTGTCAAAGACCAACTACAAATCCTACTTAAAAATTCTTTTTCGTATCTTATCTTAAAGCCATGTCCGGTAGCTCGTTTCTGTAACTTTTCTCTACCGATTATTTGTCTACTGGTAGAGGATATTCGTCATTATCTAATACTCATTAGCAGTAGAGAACAGAGAATTCGCCACTCATATCTCAATTCGCCTTGGTAGAGAATTGTTACAGAAACGAGATACTGTACTTCAAGTTTCCTATATTGCGGTGATGTAGAGAGTACGAACATTCCAGGCGCTCATCCGTAAATCGCAGTCCTTGTTTCAATTGCCAAGGTCGCAGACGTGTGGGAAGGCTATTTGACCTATACATAAAATTTTTTGTTCGGTGAACTTCACACAGCGTGTCCCAAGCTTAGTTTATAGCCCATTGCTGAGAGGGCCGCTCGCATGTCATCTATTTCGGAGCCTTTGAACTGACTAATGCTTGAAACACAATACCCGGCGAACGGCTAAGTTCGCCGAATTGGACGATGCCGTCGTTCACCGTTCGCCCTGCTATTTCGCTTACTTTAACAGAATTAGAGCGGTAGCGAAAACAGCTGATACCATTTCGTCGCACTTACAATTTAGGTGACCATATTTTGAAAAACGAAACTATATTTAGAAATGATGAAATGATAACAAATATAAATATAAGGCAAGGGGGAATTATTATAAATTATTTTATTTTAAGCCAGATTTAACGAATCGTCGATCAGTGTATTTTTCAACCAACAAAAATAGTTCGTGTTATATGTTGTCGTTGACGCCGCCGAGCAAACTTCGCATTTCGCTTTGGCTGTATTCAGTTTCATATGCCGGCGGGTGTTCTAACTTTTACAGCGGGAATTTCGCTGTGGTGAGTTCGCCGTTCGCCGGCATTATGTTTCCACGGTAAATTGGAGTGGCCTAACGAGTTTCTCACGTTGCCCACAGCGTCAAGAACGAGATATATATATGTATGTACACAAGAGTGTGAATTTTGTGTGGAACGTAACGAACAGGAGATCTAAATCAACAGATTCTTAGGGTTTGTTACGCTCCACCTAGTGCATTATCACCCAGAGAATTTTCATTCTACTGGTTGTCAACCACACATCATTATACCCATTCGCATTTATTTTACATACAATAAATAGTTAAGTGAAAATTCACTCCGTCCCTTTACTTCTATTATAGCTACGGAGAATACCCTAATATACTTCTAATTTTTTGTTTTAATCGAAATCTGGCATAGACTTCAGAATTTTTATTGTAGATACTCATTGCTCATTCTTCGAAATAGTTTACAGTGAAAGGCCCAGATGTATCCTAAACATTGATCACCCTGTATAAAACATCGAACGTGGAAAATTACGCAGGACGAAGTGAGTAACCTCCTCAAGTGCATGAAACAAGTTTGAAGAAATGTATTCTCAAATCATGCGAATTGTTATTAGTTTGTGTGAATATTAAAGATAATACTTAGTTACCGTTATATTTGCTTGTATTTATGTATGCTTCTGATACTTCATTTGCTGCCAGCGTGCTTTGTAATCAGCATCAAATGCATATCTAACCGCGTATTAACAGCCCAACAAGTAATCGAGTGGGCAACCAAACTTTTTATCTTGGAAAAGGCGCATATAAATGTGTAGGTACATTAGACTGTATCACATTACAAGCAAAAAAAAAAAAGTTCTCCGTACACCCCAGATTCTAAAGTATTTTTGCAAGGCAATTTCAGCCAGTCGTGCCCTTTGTTACAAAAAATTCGACGTTTTTAGGATTTTTAGGATTCATTAGGGAAGTCGAAGGAATCTTTGCTTCACTGTGTTAGCGGCTCTCTTTTTAGGGGATACAAAAGATCTTTCAGGTCGCGAGGTCTCTTATTTTGTTATGCACAAGCACAAAGTAAGTAAATAACAAAGGCAATTAAAAAAATATATAATTTCTTTGGCCGAGCCTAGAGGTCGCTTTTTTTAATTTTTTTATATACTTCCTCTAGAATAATCGAAATACTTCCTCAGCAAAAGTTTCATTATTTTTGGTGAACTTCACAGGTCAGTTCTGGCAATGGAAGTCTTTTGTAAGATTGGCAACTCTCTTGAAAGCTCTTTTCGTCTTTCGAAAGACTAACTAAATGATATACTAACGATGAGATCTTAGCGTTCTTCTCTTTGACTTTTAAGTTTTCTAAAAATTGACGTAAAATAAATATATATATTTTTTCTTTAAAAACAATAAAAACTAAAAATCAAAAGAAAATAATATAAAACAGAAATATTAAATTAAAATAATAAAAAAGTTTTTTAAAATGTATGAAATTAAAAATATATGTATAGGATTTTTTTTTCTTTGTCAAACCTCAAAGTCACTGTCTAAAGAGAAGTTTGTCGCTATTTGCAAATATCTCGTAAAAAAAAGGTAAAAAAAATCTTTAAATAAATTCTATTCAATTACTATTTTGGATGTTCTTGGGGTGGCTGGACAAGAATTCGATATCAGTTTTTAATTCAAGATACACCCCCACGACATAGTTTTGTAGAAATCGGTAAGACTTACAGAAGCTATCTTCAATTTAAAAACTGATAATGGATTCAGCGATCACAAGAACCCCCAAAATAGTGATTTAGTCAAATTTATTTGAAGATTTTTATTTTTTCGACCATTTCTCACGAAATATCTGCTTTTTTGTCGACACGATTCTGTTTAGACAATTATTTACAGGTTAGACAATTTTTTTTCGGGAAAAACAAGAGGCATCGAAAACTACACTTCATGACACATTTTTTCATGCGCTCAAAACATTTTTTCTTTCACGAGAAAAATATATATTTTTCTTTTTAAATTATAATCTACAAATTAAAAGAAAATGAAATTAGAAAAGAAATCAAACAAAAAATCAATAAAGATATAATTTCCAAAAATTAAATGAAATAAAAAAATAATAATGCAGAATTGCCCTGTAAATTTATGGACATTAGGGTGTAGATCTGGTGGGTAAGTATTAGAACGGGGAACATAAGGTCAATGAACTTTGCACCAAAAAAACTATCTCCTCGAGACAAAAACATCAATATATGTATGTACATATCATACTTTAAGATCCGATTACAAATGCTGAAGATATGACAAAAAATTTAAAACGGCGGCGCCAAAACGTTTGGCCAAAAATACTTTAAACTCAGGGGTGGACGGCGAATATTTTTTTTTTTTCGGGTACGGTCTAATGTCATACATATGTGTACAAATAAATCTAGTTCATTCGTCTTAAGCATACTTTAGAAGAAGGAGGTTACTCATTTCGGTATTTATTTATGAATTAAGGACGAAAGTAGTTGCAGTCAACAAAAAAGTATAATGAAATAACTTTAGTAAAATTGACAAATCTTCATAACAGAGGTATATACTCTCGGTCGAAACTCTCGAAATTCCAAAAAATTTTGCTGAAGTTTCCTGAGTTTTCTAACTTCAAGCAGCACTTCAACTTAGACGCTCAACTGAAATTTGAAGAAATTGAATAAAAAAGAAAAGACACACATTAACATGCATATTTTACTTTATAATCTCCTTTAATCATATGCAAACTAATTTCATGAAATATTGCATCTTTTCAGCTTCCCGATATGCAAATTGTACTATGTATTATTTACGAGCGGCTTCTCTTTTTCGCACAAAAGGGTATGCGACCGTATTTTGTGCACCCCTTCTGCATATCATTTGTGTGCATGCCCTGTGGGTGCGTTTGTTTTATTTGTTTTTTTTTTATTTGTGCCACAGTGGATAGCGTTTATCATGGCGCTGGAGGTTGGGAACGAAGATTCGCGATTGCTCCTTTGACATGTCAATGCTATATAAGCCGCTTGCTAATTTTTTGTGTCAACATATCGCGTGCTCCATCTGACCGTGCTTGGTGCCTTGTCTTAAATAAAAGTCAGCAAAACCGAAAAAGGTAACTAAGTAGTTACAGTATTGAAGTCAAATTTTGATTTAATAATTTTTGTACTTTCGAAAATTTTCAGCTTGTGTCCAGCCGCACATCCTAATCGGTAAAAAAAAAAATAAAAATAAGAAATCGAAATGGTGAGTGCACTTTACCAATAAAAATTAATATTAATATACAAATGTATTACTTTGAGTTGTTTGTACAGAAGTGTAAAAAAATATAAGTTTAAAAATTTTAGTTTAATAGATTTTAAAACGTTTGTAGATTCTAAAAAAAAAACCATATACATCGCGCGTTTATTGATAAGTATGTAATTAAAATTTTTTAACTCAAAGTTTAAGAGCCGTTTTCACCAGAAATTTATATATAACATGATTTCTTCTTTTCTGTCAGTTTTCTTATTAAATTCCAATTCGTGAAACTACATAGCTATGAAATGTGCGAAATTCGTGCACTGTTTGTTCATAAAAAATGTGTTCAACGTAATGTATCTTTGCTGTTTTTATCAAATTGAGATTTTGATTAGACTTTTTATTTCATGCAATGAAATCTGAAAAATCATGAAAATTTTAAAAAACGTCTTTCATACTAAAGGGAAAAACGAAAAATTCTTATAAAGTCTGTTCAGTAATCTCCTTCAATCTAAATTTCTTACATCAGTATGCAGCTCTCAAGAAAAAAAATGCACATGAATTTATTTCTTCAAGAAAATTTACAGCAACAGCAAATTACTTTTTCTATCAACAGAAATAACGTTAAATATTTTTGAGATATTTCTTGAGAACTCCAGACAACCCTTAAACTTAGTATACAGCTCTCAAGAAAAATCTCTGTAGAGCCAGACTGTAGGTTTTGCAGAGCATATTCAATGTAACTGCCCACCTAAAATTACTAGGAAACGATTATGTTCTCCATCCAAAATTTGGAACATGGCTACATCCAAAGTGTTTAGCTTCTTAAAGGGCCTAAAATTGGACTGATTTCAATTATGGCCCGTCAGAATCGGTGTACTTTGCGTACGTTCCGCTCAAAGATGAAACTGACAGTTGAGTACACTGTGTGTGTTTGAATAGAGAGTGTCAGATTGTCAACCTTTGCGTCGATGGACCGACGAAGATAATGAGAAAAATGTGATTAATAGGGCTCGAATTTTTATGCACTAAAAACTCAAAAATATCCACTAAAAACAAACAAAATATGCAAAAAGACTTCTCGCATTGGTTTTTCTTTTTTAATTTTTTTATTTAATTTTCATATTTTATTACAAGCAGAGCTGTTAAGTAATTGTAATGATTACCGATTTAATTAATTATTATTTTTAAATCTGCTAATGATTAATTACCATTATTTCCACTTTTAAATTAATAATTACCGATTACCATTAAAAATAATCAAAAAAATAATCGTATTTTTAGCCACTTGGAAGAAAAAAATTAAAAATTAACAAAGATAATCAAAAAAACTAATGCGATTAGTTTTACAATAAATTTAATTATTTTTGCTAGACGCAATACCTTCATTGTGGCGTATTTCTACGTTAGGTACGCCACTTCCTTCGCGTACTTTTCCGGTATTGACGTACATTCTGACGGGAATATTAGGGTTTAATAACACCGTGCGACAGTAAATTTTACACACACAAAAATGTATATATTCGAAAAACTATGGGTAAATTATTGTAAACCTGGGTGCTTAGTTTTTCTTTCTGACGTCAGGATTTTTTAAGAATACTTTGAAATTTAAAAAATACAATTATTTCAAAAAAATATTTAAAAAATTCAGTGTAATGTAGGATAACAATAAGGGTATCATATAAAAGAAAAAATTATGTAGAATTATAATAGAATAAATTTTTTGTTGCATAAGGACAAATGGGCATGGAAAATGTCCTTTATAAATTTTGTCCTTAAATATCCTTGAACATTTGCAATATTTTTTTTTACTATTGTTTTGTTGAGGACTAATATACAACTAAAGGACTAATATGCAAACTTTAACTCAAAAAGATAAAATTTATTAAAAGCTCATTCTTAAAACCTATTCGTCCTTGTAAACCAAAAAACTTTATTGTTTTTAAATTCTACAGAGTTTTCTCTCTCTTTTGGTACCCATGTTGTTATTCTAAATTGCACTGATTTTTTTGAAATAATTTTTTTAATGAATCATATTCTTAAAATTTAAAGGTCCTTTGAAAAAAAAATCCCGACGACAGAGTGAAAACGAAAAACGCAGTTTTACTATATTTGGCCCATTGTTTCGTGTATATCGATTCTTTCATGTGTTTTAATTTTTTTTTTTTTTTGTTTTCTTCGCAGCGTTTCGTTCTGCAACTTTTTGCACCTTGAACGTCATGCACGAAATGTTGAGGTCCTGCTTGGTCACTGATAATCTTTTTTCTCCCGAAACCTGGCTTTCAAGTAACAACCAAGTCCTGCTTAGATTTCTGTAACACACTTGATACGTCTTTTCGGCGTACTTTTACAGTCTAGGACGTTATATGTAATTATAACAAGCACCATATAAATCCACATTTCAAACTTTGTACAAAAATTTTAAAAATTCAACAAACTTGGCCGAATTCCACCAAAAATTCAAAACTTTTTTCAGATTTTTTAGAAAAAATTAAGTTATACAGTGTTATAGCCCATTAAATTTTAATAAGACAAAGTGCAAGTTCCCAGACGCAGGAAAACTGCATTGATTTTTTAAACTTTTTTGGCTAACGGTGTTGTGCATTTTCATCCATATGAAGTATTTTAGCTTTGAAAGAGCCGTTGTTGGATCGGATGATCGCTGGTGTACCCGACGAACACTTTTGGAACGAACTTCCGGCATTCTTTCATTTACTTTCATTTTGGTTTGGAGACAAATCGATTTCAGCGTTGTGCCCCTTCAGTCTAATTTTTCGTTCTTAGCACGATTGCTTTAAAACTTGAAGTTATGACGCAGAAAGGTGTTCTCTGAAAAAGGTGTTCAGCCCCTTTTCTTTGCAAAACAGAAAGGAGAATTCTACTTAGTGAGGGTTATAATCCTAAGCGAGGTTAGGTTGCTTTATTTGCATGCTTTTATTTGTTTTTTTCTCCAAATTTTTGGTATTTCTTAAATAAAAATGAGCGAATCATTAAATTTGATGAAATTGCAAAATGTATTTGTGAATACTTTTTATATATAAAACGCGTATAAAAAAATTGCGTCAAATATTTTCAAGTGTCAAATACACAGATCAGCTAGTTACTTTGCTATTTTCTGCTACGTTTTTTGCCTGTATTTTTCATTTGAAATACAAACAAAAAAACTGACGAAAGTCAAATTACAAAAACAATTCGGCAATGCGTTAGAGAGAAACAAATTCTGCGTGAAAAACGGCTGTCCAACAAAAATTTTGTGTTGAATCTAATAAAAGTAAATGCCCTGTTCGCGTACGCACTATCCAGTAAATCCAGTACTAATTTTCTGGTTTTTTACTGGATGCCGTTTTCGTACGCAAAAACTTGCGAGAAACTAGCAAAAGAATGGAAATTGAGAGAGCAAAAATGACAGCTGAACTTGCAAGTTTTACTGGATTTTTACTGGATAAATTTTTACTAGCAACTATTTGCTAGTAAGAAAAACAGCTGATGGCATGATGCTTATTGTTAATCACATAAGAAAATAATTGTTTGTGGTGCTTTTAGAGTTGTAATAGAAAAAAAATAAACCTATTTAAATATACATATAATAAGATGGAAAACACTAGTTTTCTAAGAAAATTGCATCGGAAAATAACAAGTTAATCAGCTGTTCATAAAACTAGCAACTTCTTGCTGGTTTTGCGTTTTCGTACTTTCTTGCATATTTCACTCATTGGGAGTAAATATTGGCTTACTCTCCGAAATTTGGTTACTGGCAAGTTACTGGATACTTTTTGCTGGAGAATACGAAAACACAACTAAAGTGAAGCGAAATTGTCCGAGTTGAAAAATCATGTGTTGAAATAATTTATGTAGAAAAGTCATATGTTGAGTTAATATGTTGAGTTGGGGTATGTGTTGAAATATCTTGTGTTATTTAGACCTGTTACCGAAGTTATTCCCCGATGTTTCATGGAATTTATGAAAATTTATTTTATGTTATGTTCGTTCTTCAGAGCCATGTTCTGATAAATGCCTTGGTATGTCTTATATTTTTTCAAACAAATTTAAAGTTATCTGGCGCCATATAAGCATTGCAATTTCTAATCATTAAAATTGGTACGCGTTCGAAATGTTTATTATTTAAAATTAATCACCTAAAAAGATTATTTAATGTTCTTAGCTGCTGTCAGAGATGTAGATACTTCAACATCCACTGTTTAAAAAAAAAAAAAAAATTTTCTGTGAAATTACTTATAAAAACTAAGCGTGCATGGGATTAGTGTCGCTAATAAATAACATTCAATTGAGCTAATTATAGAATGATAATTATGATAAAAATTGCACACGTACATGCAGACATTAATAAATTGATGCTTATCTTTTTGATTCAATGTATGTTTGTATGTTGGTAAGCGGAAAACCGAACAAATATTCGCACTAAGCACAGCGCAAAGGTGTGTCTTTTCTGTAGTATATATATATACACACTAATGGTGTTTTGGAGGGACTAAAAGTAACCTTTAATTATCAAGATTTCTAATCCTAGTAAAAAAAAAATTGTAAATATTTTCTTTTCGCAATAAAAATTCACAATGGGACTTCCTACCGAATAAAGTTCGCAATCATAAATCCATATTGTCGTATATGTACATATTTACATACTCGTACATACGAATTTAAACAAATATCTTCACATTTAATTTTATATCTCATTACAAACCACATTTCGCAATCGTATCGAATTTTCAATTTGCGGTTTTCAATTGAAAATGTGTGTGCACAAATACATATGTATATATGTATGTCTGTAATAATGACACAACTCGGAATTTCGTATATTTTAGTAGAGCCAATTCAAGATTTTATATTTCGTAACTTAGCAATAATATGTCTTGGAACGTAATTATTCCGGATTATTTGCAGTCATTCTGTAGGGGAAATTTTGTAAGCTTTTAAATTATGACTTTTGATAAAGATTTAGTAAGGTGTTGGAGTGCATAAAT